CACGTGGCAGATCTCCTGAAGCCTGACAGAAGAAATACCCAAATGATTAATATGCCCACCGAGAGCAATTACCAGTCTGTGGGTCTTTTCTGTCATTGTACAGAGACAGGGGCAACTGAAGAAGTAGAGTGAATTTTTTTGAGTAACTTTGGGGAAAACAATTTCTAAATGAAGATTGAAGTCATGACCCTAAGTGAAAATGCCAGCAAAAAAAAAGGAGTTTGGCAAATGACTTAACTGTTACAAATCTGTCTTCAGCCTTCCTTTTCTCTCAATTAGCTGCCTGAATATAGATTGGTTGTGCAGCACAGGATGTTAGACCGTGTGATCTGTGCTATTCCAGAGTAAAGAGCCTCTTTTGTGACCAGGGTACAAAGAGCTTTGTCCACATGATGATTTTTTGTCGATTGTTGAAATATTTGTGAAGAAAACAACAACAAACCAAAAAAGTGGCAAAAGTCATAGCCATTTGTGCTTTGAAGAACAATATGTAAAATGTTCTTATAAGTCTTCTGCTTCTTCATCTACATATTCTGTCTTTCTGGTTTGATTTGAACACCAAAAAGAGTCTCCATGGGTACCTCACGGAGCCTCTCTGTGTGTGTATGGCATCCCCTTGCTTTTCTGCCTGAGGAGAAAGATATGTCCCAGTGATGCTTGTGTTTGTTCCAGCAGAGCCCTCTAATCATGAAGCACAGATCAGAGGGGTTGCTTGTGTACTGCCTTCCTGCCCAGCACCATCCATTTATTGACAGGATTGTTATGCAGATACTAAGTTCCTTAACCATAAGGCTATGGTTGAGGCTGGACGATGCTTTTTAGGGGGGGTTACGGAGTTTGAAGAGATGACAGGGTACATGTGGAAGGTTGTTTTCTGTAAGTAGATAAGGTGGGACAAGTGACTTGTGCATGGTGTCCATTGCTGGCATCTCCTTGCTGTTGGCTGCTAGGTCAGGTCTTCCAAGCTGCTGGGTACCTCCAGGCAGGTTATCCCTGCCCGTCAGGAGGTAATGCATTTCCTCTGGCCACTTCTCTGCTCAGACACTGGTATCCACATCTTAAACCCTCACCGTGTTTAAAACAGTTGCCAAAGGGTTGAAACAAGCTGTTGTCACGTCATCCTCAGACTCACCAACAGGCAGATGGAGGTGAGGAGGGTGAACAGCCAGCCCTCCTCCGCTGCGGTTCGGGGACATGAAAGTGAGGTCGGGGCACAGGCACTGAGTGAGGATTTGAATCTTTAAAGCAGCCCTGGTTTTAGTGAAGGTGGTTATTGATTTTTGTAATTTTTCTGGTGTTCTTATAGAATACTATTCTTTATACTATTTACTCATGTCACTTCACAAGGGGGACTGCAGACCCTTTGCTTCCATTAAATACCAGTACAAAGGCGATGTCTGGGTTTTTCATGCCTTATGTTTTGCTGACTCCGTATTTGACTCACCCAAGCACAGAAACACCATTTTCTTAGGATAACATGATTCTTTATTGGGGAACTTATTCTTCTTGTAACCCATTCAGATTTGGTCAACATATCCCCATAGGTAGATTTGTCCCATTAAAAAGATTCTTCTTCAGCTATTCATGTATGCTGATGTTATACTTTTTTCTATACTTTTCCAGCTTTATTTGAAGGTGAGATAAGGAGCAGAAAGTGAAATAAGTACAGATTTATATGCTGAATGTATCTCACGTACATGTTAGAGCAGGAGGGAGGGGAGAGGACGAGACTCCCATCAAAGATAAAGACTGATCACCCTTTTAAGACTCTATGTTGCTTTTTTCCCTTCTTCTGGGAAATCATTTTGATGCTCCCTGGAAAATATTGAGGAATGAACCCTTTCCATGAAATCGCAAAGACTAAGGAAGCAGACAGAATTCTGGTTGCTTGTGAGTTAGTGATACCTCCAGCAACTTGGCACAGAAGAGCAAATGTTTATCAGTTACTTAGAAGTTCTGTGTTAAACTCTCCTCAGTGGCTGGTGTGTGGGCATGTTCAATGCAAAGATCGGGTCCAGATTTTTTTTTCTGTTTTGTATTTTGGCTTTGAAAAACAGCATTTATCTCTGCCTCCATTTTTTGAGTAAATTGTGTAATCCCAAATTGAGAACAGGAACAAGCCTGAAAGCCGCAATACAGAATAATGCTCTGGAATTTCTTGTCAATTGTTTTCGAGAGGAAGCACATGTGGTATCAAAGGCTCCAGTATGGACGGTTTCTGTTAACAATATTTTGGGGGTTTAGGAAGCAGTGAAAGACTTTCAAAGTTTTAAATATCTTTAAAAATGATGCGTGTGCCTCTCTGTATCTGATTCTCTAGCCTGTCTGTCCAGCCTGGGCATTTAATTTAATGCCCAGCTGGGGCTGGGTACTGTAGTCCCTTAAGACAGAGAGGCAGCGTTTCCAGTCTTCCTGCCTTCCCCAAAGAGTCAGTCAAGAGCTAGTTGTCATTTCCCATGTTTGGGATGTACCCTTATGTGCTTTTAATTGATAATTATTAGCCAAGTATGTACCTCTACACCTTTCCCGAAAGAGTGAAGTTCCAGAGAAGCACAAAAGCAGGGAGACTCAGAAATCACTGAAGACTCAGCTTTGAGTTTGTGTTAATGGCTGTGCACCACCAGAAGAACTAAGGCACCAGAACTCTGTGGAGGTTTGAGGGGGACTTCTCTGCTGAGTTCAGTGGAGTGGGACTGTGTGCTCTGTTCCCTGGTGCCATCGGAATGAGGCAGAGGTTTCCCAGCAGGCTCTGTGAGGCGTGGATGATCAGTTTTTAAAGGTTCAGTCTCTCAGAGGCAGCGTTTTGCTCTGTCCCAGGCTCAGCAGTGGGCTCTGCAGCACAGAGCGTGCCTCGTGCTGCTGCCCAGCCCAGGCTGGACACTCTGAGTACCAACCCTCCTCCCACTCTCACCAGCAGGTCAAGTGAAGCTTGTTCTCTGCCAGCTCCATAATTACAGCAGTCTCTTTGAGAAACCATTTCCTGTTTGTTTTTCTTCCCTATTATAAATTCCTCTAAGGAAAAAAACAACTAGAAGTAGGTCACTATTGCAAAGCACATATGAATTCACTGTTATAAGGATCATGTTTGGCTTGGTTTTGTTGTTTTTTTAAAGCACATCTAGTTCATTGTCATGGGCTGAAACCAGTAGAAGCTCATGCACGTGTGTGCAGGAATCCAGTGTGATCGTTTCTGTGTCCTTCACTTACCAATAACAATATAAGCAATACAGAAAAGTTTCTGTGCATTGGAAATGATGATATTTTGTAAGTTTTGAGATTTTTCTGTCTTTACAACTTCAGTGGAACAGAAGGACTGTTAAGTAGAAGTAGAGAGAAAACTGCAGAAACATTTGCAGCAATGTCCTCCTGAGGGTGTGGGGGAATAGCATTTGGGGGGAAAACCGTGGATGTAAGGAACCATGAATATAACTGTATAACCAAACAAGAATCCAAAAATGAAGACAGGGAGAAGCCTGGGGAGAATTTGCATTACTATGAAAAATAAATTCTGCCTCAACAGAAAAGTTAGGAGTGGCATGGTGGGTGCACGCTTCACGCCCCTTGAGTCGTGGAACACTCACAGCTGCACAGACCTGAAACATTTCAGAAACTCACATGGCAAACTGGTTCAAAGCCTCTAGTTTACATCTTACACATAGATTATCTAGGCTCCTGTTCTTTCTTTTGCCTGGACACATTTATTTGTCTAAACTCCTGCCTCTGGTGATATTTTTTCTTTAAGGTAAGAATGGAGATGAATTTTGCATGTTAAATGTGTTGCTTATGATGTTTTGTTATTCTACTGGGAGGCAGTTTGGCTCCCACTGCTCCTGAAAGAGGGTGGCCAAGTTTACAATGACTCGTACATGGTCCACATGACCCTCTTTACTGCTTTTCTAACAGGATAAGATGCGACTGTCTGACTGCAAATAGCTGCTCAGCAGCAGCTGCAGAAAGAAGTGGTGGTGTTTTGCCTCGCAGACCTATGAGCTGGGGGTGTTGGCAGCACAGTGTGGAGCTGCAGACACCAAGTGTGTGTAAATTCAGGGGTCTGCAAAGATGAACGCTCTCTCGAGAAGCATTAGCACTTAGTTAATCTTCAGATGAGGGAGATAATGATGTTACTTCCAGGATGAAAACAAAGACTTTGGAAACAAGTAGTCCCTTTCTGAGCTTTCTACTTGCAGCAGCTAAGAAGATTTTTTGAAACTTCAGATAACTTGGTGAATCTAAACAGATTTTCCAAGTGAAATGCCGTACAGTCTAAAGACACTATGAAAGAGGAGCTAAAGGGACAACCTGCAGAACTGTGGTGACCCTTAGATGTGGCAGCCTTTCAGCCTTGACAGCAAACGTTCATGTAGGTGGCTGTTGGACAGACGATCTGACACATCTTTCCAGAAGATCTGCTGAGAAATAGGAAGAGTTTTATAGAACAGGGTAACCACTTCCCACAGAGTCTGTATCAGGCTGCCTATAAGTCAGATCAAATAAAATCCTACATGGATCCCAAACCCCAGTTCCTAGTGGAGTCTGTGAAAGCTCCAAGGTTCCATCCAGAGACCAATACCACTGCTCTGGCCAAGTCTCAAAGAAGATTTGTGTCCATGTGTAGGCAGAAATAACTGGGCAAAGAATGTATCTCCATGGTTCCTGTTGGCTGCAGGTTCAATGACGACGATTGAAATCCTTTTCCTTACATTAAGCTAAAAGGTTTCCTGCTTTTTAGGGTGATTTATTTCTTTTTTTGTGGGATGCAGTACCATTTACGTGACATGGCAAGGGTATTAGTAAGGTATGAAAGCAGCCAAGATTTTCAAAATGCTGCCTGCTAATTGCCAGGTTCATTGTCCTTGAAAGTGACAGAGAGGAGCAGAACCATGATGGCACACAAACCCACAGGAACTGGCAGAGATGCAGAAATGTTAACTGGCAAGAGGTGTGTGTCCACTTCACAAGAAATGACATTTGCTTTTTAATGTGCCCTTCTTGTTTTACAGAAAGAGATGACAACCAGGATGTGTCACTAAAAAGCTACCAACTGAAGAAAAGCAAAGTCCAGGTTCCTTCTTACCGCGGAGCTCAAAAACGTGAGGGCCCCTGTGGACTGAGCTTTCTTGTTAATCCATGCAAGCAGGAATGCTGGGAACCACAGTTACTTTCACAAATACTTCCCACCACTGTCAGCGTTCTTAACCCTGAATATGCTGCTAGGAACCTTGTCTGAGTGACATGGATTCTGGAGAAAAAGAAGAGTCAATATCAGTTGGAGCTCCTTCGGTAGGGATAAGAACCCCTTCACCCATGAACAACGACATACTGTGCTCCTGCTGCTAAAGCTTTCCTGAAATTCAGATCCCTGGGCTGATCTCCAGATGAGTTGTTCTGAAAAAAACCTGCATTGTTAGCTGCAATGATGTTCTCTTTTGTTTCTTGGTATGTGCTTTGTTTCCCAAGTGCCGCAGAATATGAAGAGGGTCTGGAATCACAGAAGACTTCTGGCCTTTAATGCCCCCCAGCCAGCCCTCACCAGAGGCCACCCAAGGCTTGGCCACCATTCCCATATGCCAGCGAGCCTTGTGTTTCCAGGAACACGTTGTGTTCTTCAGCTGATTGGGCAGTTTGTGCTTCATTGTGGCTCATAATTGGGTGACAATGGGACAGTTTCTGGTCTCAGTTCCATGAGCAGGGATCCAGACAGAGCTCTGTAGTGCTGAATGCTTTTCTTTGAATTCATGCTCTAACTGAGAGCCCATCTGCTCAATCTCTCGCATTACCTAAAAAACCAGCTATAATCGGCATTTTCCTGAAGTATCCTATGAAGTACACCAATCTGCCATGTAATTTTATATCCTTTTGTCCCCTTAGAAAAGGGATCCTTCTCATTCACCTGAAAATTTCATCTTTTCAGGGAAAAAGAAGTTTAGTTTTAGTAACTGGGAGAAAGACATGGTAAAGACGAGCAGTACCAAGCTGACAGCAGGATGGACTAAGTGAAGGTCTCCATTGCATCTGAGGGGTGTCCGGCAGTGTAGCTTGCTTTCCATGCTGGACTAACACAATTTTTTCTCCCAGTACTCAGTCCAACTTAACTAACACATGTCTGGACAGCCTGGAAGGATCCATTGCAGTAAATCAAGTCTTCTACGCCAAATATGCCCTCATAAGAGGCGTTTTTCTCCAAAAATAAATGAATTAAAGCAATACTTAACAGACACCTTGCAAGAGAGATACTGCTGAATAAATGGGAATCAAGTGGAACACACCTGTATATTTTGTGCCTTCTAATGGATTTTGCACATTTGTGTTATTGTGCAGATAACTCCTTCCTGAGTAAGTGCTGAACCCTGTTGCTGCCTCCCTCTCAAGTGAGTTAGGGACGTAACATCTCCTGAGATACAGTGTCAGGAGCAAATCTTGTAGAGTATCCAGTGACGGAACATTTAAAATAGAGGGATTGCAGGCTCTAAAAAATAACACCAAGCCTTTTCTAGCTCTTACTGTGGTACCTTCTGCTGTGCTTGCCTGCTTGTGTAAAACAGGACTTGCGAATGTTGATGATCACGTCCTTGCTGGGACAAATGGCTTTTGTCTGTGCAAGTTCAGTGCAGCAACGGGGGAGGCTTTTCTGCACCTTTAGGATCACGCAGGCAGCATTATCCTTTGCTTTCAAGGGGATGGACTGGAGCGTTCCCACCGCCTTCGGTGGTCTTTGCAATCAGGTTAATTCTGTGGGGATTGGGATGCGCACACAGATAATTTCTGGCCTGCTGGCACTTTTGCAGGATATAACTTGCTTGTGGACTTCATTGCCATGGCCGCTGCTGAGCTTAGTTGCCTCATTTCAAAGAAGATGGGAAATGGTACGTCTTTGAAAGAAGATACGTGGTAGGTGTGGATGACAACTGCTTGGAATTGCAACATCAACCATGTACGGAAGGGTTTTGTGTGCTTCTCCGAAGTGGCTGGACTGTTGCAGTGATGGAGAAGGACCTGTAGCTGATACAGCACCCTTGAATTTCGCTGTGGCCAGTTGCCACTTGGTGTTCATGTGGCTGCAGTGTTATGCTTTAAAGATTAACACGAAGATGCAAATGTGTGGAATTTGGTGCATGAAGATCAAAGTCACTACGCAAATTGAAATTGTGATGTTTTATGCCTAGAATAATCTCTTCTTTGTTTTATTACGCTAATTACCACGTGCTGTTTTGAGTCTATTCACTGTAACTAGGTCTGAAGAGGAAGCAGAATTTTTTCCCAGTTGCAATGAATTATTTTTTTCATAACCTCTTTGTGAATGCATTCATTTTGTGAGTGCAAAACTTATCTGTTGGAGTATTTTTCTTTTTCTAAAACTGTTTTTCATAACCCCTTGTGTTTCCTTTTCTACTGCAGTGCACTGTATGAGGCAAAGGAGGGAAATGAAGGATTTGTCTTTGACCTGGCTGAAATTCCTGTAGTGGGAGAAGCCCATTACATCCCAGCAGCTGAACCAGCCACAAAAGAGTGCAAAATGTACTTGTGTTGGTTGCTTATTCTGCTGGGGAGCACCTGGAGTTTGATGGGTGATAGAATAAACTTTCTCCCAATGGCAGGGTTTGGCCTTTGGCTGAGTATCTCCCAACAGGTCTCTTGCCTCCACTCACACCATGGGCCATTTCTCCTTTTCCCATGCCTGGTATTTGATATCCCTGTCAGAACAGTGTCTGGAACGTGGCATCACACTGTGGAAGTATCACATTGCCCCTTCCTCCCTTCTGGAAGAGAGGGGCAGAATCCTGGTGGATCTCATGCTCAAGGATTCCAGCTTCATCAGTGATTGGCTCGGGGCCGCATCTGGAGTGAAGCATGTTTGGGTTGTTAATTGCAGGTCCTTATCTGTGTGATTTCTCGGGATACATAATGAGGACTGAGTTTAAATGTGATTGAGTACAGGGGCACCCATTTCACCCACTGAGAAAAACTTTCTACCTGATCTTAATTATGTATGTTCCTAGTCATTCCAGCATTTCATATGGTTCTGGGATTGGGGCTGGGGTTGTTGTTTGCATTTGTTGGGGTATTTTTTCTTTCAATCACCCTTCTAGTCTTTCAATCAGGTCTTGCTTTTCTTGCCTAAAACCCAATTTCTTTTAGTGTGGTACTTAAGAGATGTTGTTAGTGTTAAGCTTCAAGGCACTGTAAGAGGGATCACTTCAGCTGCCTGAGACCACAGTCAGCCTTACTTCAGAGTGTGAAAGGTTCCTATGATACCAAAATTGCCTTCAGTGATTAAAAACTTCATAGCTTTCATTGATTGTCTCTGTCATGAGGGATTTTGTAATGAACTTCTGCTTTGTCTGAACATAGACTAGTGTCACTGGAGTGGCCAATGTAACATGAAACAAAACCTGACCTCCCATATGCTTTATGGAAGATGGAGTCCCCTGGTCTGTCTCAGGGGTTTTTTTACGGATACGCAGCAGTGAAATTGATGTTCATCATATTTCAGAGAAGTTGCGTACTTACAAAACTTGAGTTTTCTCCAAAAACTCGAGCTCTCAACAGCAAAACTTACGCCAGACAAGGTATTTAATTCTCCCAACCGATGGATTCATTAAGAACAAGACAGGGAGAGAGGAGGAAAACAGGTAACGGGTAACTCTACGGAGACCTACAGAGAGCTACTCAAGAACTGCAGAAACCTAAGGGGTAGACATTGTCCCAGTGATCAACTGCAAGAAAATTCTGGGGACTCTGTGGAAAGGGCACAGAGAACAGTACCCTTTGTCTCTGGGGAGCTGAGTCTCTATAAGGGCCTTTTAGCACCTTTGTACTTGGGGTTGAAGAAATTGCACATTCTGGAGCCCTCTCACAAAAAGCCTTTCCTTCTTTTGACTTTTTGCTTTTTTGTGTGTTCTTCAGGTTTCTCACATTTCCCAGGAGTGAGGTCTCAGGGCTGGCCTTCTGCCTCTTAATCTTCTCTTTGCTTCTCCAAGGACAGGGTTGTTACAAAACCAGTAGCTTTCTGGCCTCTCTCTGTGCCTCCAGAAAGGAGACCTCTCACCTGCGCCCTCGGAAGAGAGACCGGCAAGGGTTGGTTTTCCACTATCCCTTCAGAAGAGCAGAAGCAGAGAGCAGGAGGTACCTGCAAGCACTGCAAAACAGGATGCACTATGTATAAAACGAGAATATGCTTGCTATTAAATAACATGCTTTAAACGCTTTAGAAAGGGGATAACACTAGGAGACCCAGTACAGACAAGTGGTCAGTGTTCAGACATTTTTTCTTATATATTTTGAAGAAAATAAAGACATTTTTAATAACTATGGAGACTGTTCCAATGGCAAAACAAGCCAAATCAATAATAAGAACCTGGTAGTTCTTGTAGGCATTTAAATCTAAAATGATCAAACTTGATTTTTCCTGTATTTCATGCTAAACAGAGAGGCAATGATTTTCAAGGTTTAGCCAAATAAGTTGGAGCTGTTAAAGTAGTTGTTTCTTTTCTGTTTTAATAAGTTTTCCTGTTTTAAAGACAGATATAATATAAGAAAGAGTTATAATAATATTCTCCCAGGGAAAAAATAAATTACTTGTCCAGTCTAATACATGTGTGTGCGTGTATATGTATATGTATATGTGTATGTATATGTATATGTATATTTGGGTGGGGATATGGATGTGGAAGTAGCACTGTGTGTATATGTACACTCCCTGCTCTTCCCCACAGAGTACTTTTTTTTTTTTTTAATCTTGGTGACTTTTAAAGGGGGATGCATCTTCTAAAAAATAAGTGGTTAATTCCTTTTCCTCCTCCATGCATCAGCACTGTTTGGTCTGTTAATTTTTTGAATTATGTCAGATGTGTCTTAGGCTCTTTTAGTTCTGTGTATTATTAAATGGTGTTTCAACTGGACAGGAGGAGAGACCAACACTAACTGTTGTAGCCATTAAAAGAAAAGGGATGATCACTTTTCAAATCAATGCTAGTGGATGAAGCGATGAAATTCCAAATATGAATAAAAGAAACATAACCTCGCGGAAGTGTTGTGAAGTCGTTTGGGATCTAACTCTTCAGCAAGAAAAATGCATGTGGTTTTCATACCACAGGGTAGAATTTCCTGGCAGCTCACAGGACTTGGAAGTGAGTGAGATCCATCACTGCCAAGGCACCAACTTCCTCACAGTCCTCCTGGCACCCATGCGACACCGAGAAAAATCGACCAAATGTCCTACTGATGAAAACTGGCCTGCATCCCACCAGCATGGGTGGGATCAGACTAGCCACGCCAGTAGCCTTTCTGTAGCTAAGCTGGCCTGCTAGTTGTTGCCTGACAGTTCTTCCAGCTTGGGTAACTCATGAGTTTAACCATGTTCTTTCTCTGGTTCCTAATGGGACGCTTCAAGACAAGGAGGAACATGTAGCACCGAGCCAGTTCACGGCAAAGTTTCATCTCTTACAAACAGAACTAAAGAGCCTGGGTTAAAGTTTGGCTGCCGCAGAAGGAAATGGAGGTCTAACAGGAAGACAGAAACTATCTCATTGGACTGTTGTCTTTGTCCTTTGGCCTGCTCCCTAAAACATATATAACCACATACACATATATGCACTGCTATAACTATATACCGGATATGAGTCAGTTACAGAGCTTGAGGGGAGCAGAGCATAGGGGTTAAGAGTGGCTGCTGGCCACCCATGTAGAGATGGCATCCAGGAGACGAGGAGCTGATTCTGGGCTTTGGGTGTCTCTCTCTGATGGTGGGGAGGAGTTGAAGATGCTCAGGAAGGACATGGACCTGTTGGTCCAGAGGAGGGCCACGAAGATGATCAGAGGGCTGGAGCACCTCTCCTATGAGGGCAGGCTGAGAGAGCTGGGGTTGTTCAGCCTGGAGAAGAGAAGGCTCCAGGCAGACCTTATAGTGGCCTTCCAGTGCCTGAAAGGAGCCTACAGGAGAGATGGGGAGATCAACTCCTCTTGATCAGGGAGTGTAGCGATAGGATGAGGGGTAATGGTTTTAAACTGAAAGAGGGGAGATTTAGATTAGATATGGGGAAGAAATTCTTTGCTGTGAGGGTTGGGAGACACTGGAACAGGTTGCCCAGAGAAGCTGTGGCTGCCCCATCCCTGGAGGGGTTCAAGGCCAGGCTGGATGGGGCTTGGAGCAACCTGGTCTGGTGGGAGGTGTCCCTGCCCAGAGCAGGGGGTGTGGACTGGGATGTTCTTTAAGGTCCCTTCCTCCCTGAAACATTCCAGGATTCTCTGATTGATTCTAATAGAGTAACTGGAAAACAGCTGCTGAGGGAAACTGAGGAATTTGGTAGAGCTGACACAAGCCCAAAGGTGAGGGCAGCAGGAGGGTCTCAGGGTAGTATCTGCATGATAATGCAGATAATGCATGATATCTATACACCAGAGGGCTGGCGTATGCCAACATCTGGAGGGCCCTCAGTAGGCTGGAGAAAAAGGTCAACAGAAACCTCATGAGGTTGAATAAAGGGAAATGCAAAGTCCCCGCACCTGGGGAGGAGCAGCCCCAGGCATATATATATGCATATATATACATATATGCAGGGGGCCACCCAGTTGGAAAGCAGCTTGACTGGGAAAGACCTGGGGGTCCTGGTGGACACCACGCTGACCAGGACCCAGCTATCTGCTCTCATGGCAAACAAGGCCAACAGCATCCTGGGCTGCACTAGGAGGAATGTTGCCAGCAGGTCAAGGGCTGGTCTTTCCCCCATGCTCAGCCCTGATGAGAAACAACCTGGAGTGCTGGGTCCACTCCTGGGCTCCCCAGTACAAGAGACAGTACACACTGGAGTGAGAGCAGAAAAGAGCTACGAGGAAGATGAATAGACCGGAGCATCTCTCACACAAGGAGAGGCTGAAAAAGATGGGTCTGGTTAGCCTGGAGAAGGCCCGTGGGAGATGTCACCCATTTGTACCAATATTTGATGAGGTGAGTGAAGAAGACAGTCAGCCTCTTGTTGGTGGATCCAAAGACAGAAGCAAGGAACACAAACTGAAGTGCAGGAAACCCCTGTTAAACGTAAGACAACCCCTTTTTTCTGTAAGTGTGATCAGATGCTGGAGCACGTTGCCCAGCAAGGTTGTGGGGTCTCCATCCTTGAAGATATTAAAAAAAACAAACAACTGGACACTGAATTTCACTGAATTTTTTTAGAGTTGGAAGGGACCATAGAGATCATCTAGTCCAACTCCCCTGCTGAAGCAGGATTGCCTAGAGCTTGTCAGGGCATGTTACTCAGGACTGCATCCAGGCGGGTCTTGACACTCTCCA